TATTTGTCTTACCTATACTATGGTATGTAAGCAACTCAGAGTAATTTTGACTGTGGCAGGGTTGAGGTTTGTGGAGGCTAAGTAGCCTTGAAGGTCAGGAGGAGGAGCTGCTACCAAAGAATTGATCAGAGAAGCAAGCCTTGAGCCAGAACCAAGAAAATAACTTGAGAAAATGTCTCTAAAAAGCCTCTTCCTATTCACAGAAAGGGAGAAAGAAGTACAAACTTGTTAGATTATTTATTCTAGCTGGTCTATCTTATTGGGGCCAGCAGTTCGATATATTAAGTAAACTTATATAAAATAGATATGTTCAAAAAAGAAAATTGGTGGAAGTGTATATTTGAATGCTGTTATATATTAATTCATACACTTACATAATGTACATCTCATGAACATGGGAAAAATAGTTATTTTTCTCCAGATAATATTTTTTTTAAAGAATCACCCTGAAAGAGTGATGGGATTCTGTCTTTTGTTCTAAAGTTCTAAATTTCTGGAGGATTGTGTTACTTTTCATTCATGAACATTTTCTCTTAATCCAAATTTCATGGCTAAAAATTCCACAACAATCTTCTATATATGTTTTTTCATCTGTTGTTTGAAAGCTTAACACTATATGCAAAGATTACCCTGAAACTGCAACGTAAGACTTTTTTTGGAATCCAAGGCACCACTTTAAGAAGATGCTCAATCTCAGTGCAGCACCATAGGCTACAAATTACGGTGTTAGGACTTTAACTGACTGGGTTGGTAATTTATTTATTTGACTTTTATCCCACCTTTGTTACTTTATAAGTCACTCAAGGTGATGGGACATCCACCTTCCTCTCCCACAACAATTACACTGTGAGGTAAGCTGGGCTGAGAGAAAACAGTTGGCCCAAAGTCACCCAGTCAGTTTTCATGTCTAAGGTGGGAGTAGAACTCACAGTCTCCTGGTTTCTAGGCAGCATCTCAACCGATATAGCAAATTGGCTTTTTATGAACACAGGCACCAAGAATTACTTATAAAAACTCACCAGTAGGGAAAAAGCTATAAGAAAACAAAATTCCAACTCTTATCCTCTTCAGATTTGACAAGCCTAGCTAAAATGATCTCCTGTAGATGATATTTAATTGAAAATGTCTAATTATCTCCATAAAAGTAACACATTTTCAATACCCACTGGCTACTTTTCTTCCCTGTCTTCCACTACTTCCGTCGTTTTCCCTTCCTTTGTGGTGAGACAGCACCATGGATGAATCAATTCTAGCCTTAGAAATCCACCATAAAGCTATTACATAATCACCGCAAGCTTAGTCTAGAATATGAAAACCTGATGCCAAATTGTGGGATTTGGCACTTGTTTTCACTTATTCAGATCAGAGAGAATTAAACAGAATTAATTTGATGGAAAACAAGAAAATAGAACCTTTAGATGCCAAATAACTCTTTTCCTTTGTTCAGAAGAATTTATTGAAGGTTTTGATATGTTTCTAATTCTGTCCCATATTTGTAAGCATTAAGCATGAGCTGGCATTTAATATATTCTCTGTGCCTTTCCTTTTCTCTTTTAATAGTTAATCTTATTTATGAAATGCTTCTAATTTATTTTGATAGTGGATGTGCTGATAGTTGTAATTTAATAACTGTTCATAAATTAACCATTCAAAAATGGCATCTCTCCATGCTGGTGCACAATGCCTGGCCCAATTAATTGGAGCTGTTCTTATCTCCACAGAGCACAGGGCTTCAGTAGGCCTGAACTAAGACCTGCCACTGTGAAACGGATCAATTATGTTTTCAAAATGACATCGAGAAGACACTGTTCTAGTGTTCTGTAGATCTTAGACTTCCTTAAGAGGCTATCCCAGTCTAGAACTCCATTTGATCTAGGAAACTTGCTAGATATGATATAATCAAACCCAAACTCACCGATATGTTATAAAAGATAAGGAGAACTGAAATATTTTGTAGACATTTCCTCCTGGTACTTGGTCCCCTCTGTTCTCCTTTGATGTTTGAATTCTGGAAGAGAGATTGGTCACTTCCATAATCTGGTAGGTTTCTCGATTGATTCTCCAAACTGGACATGAAGTTGGTTAGGAGGTGGGCTTTGGAGAAAGGTCCATTAATGTCCTGTTGTGGACCTCCAGAATTGCTGATTTATTGAGTTTGGCTAATCTAAAAAAACCCCCAAAACTAAACAAAGTCTTGGGTGATTACTATTTGGATGGGAGACCATCAGGAAATCCAGAGGATAGACTGGGAAGGAACAAAATTACAACTAGAAGACTATTGCAAATGAATAGTCTGCTTTCTGAATAGTCACCAAGAAAACAATATGAATGTGCCCTTATATTCACCAAGCATGAAGTCGACTTTAAGGAGTTTTTACCTTATGTATATATAATTTAATCTACAAATAAAATATACAGTATGAAATCTGATTTTTTGACAGGTGGTCATTCAATATCTATTGAATTGGTGCTGACTCAGTGCCTATCTATGAACCTACAAGCATAAATGGCAGATTTTTTAAGGGGCTATCATTTCTGTATTTGTTGCAGATGGATAGTTATGGTATGGGGAAACTAGCAGGAGTTTATGAAGTACATAAACAAGCCAAAATGTACATTCAGTATCCCCGGCAATTGTGTCCGAAGCACCTTTGAGCAGCCCAAATCAGTATATGAACATTTAAAAAAAATTCTTATTTCTCCATTAAATTAAAACAATGAGGCCTAAGTGCAACCTACTGGGCTCTAGTATTTTACAATGTTTATATAATGTGAATAAAAACAATTGCAGCTTCCATTCCAAAACAAACTTCACTGAAACAGGAAGAGGCTTAAACCATTACAGAGCCTCTCCTGTCCCACCCCAGCTATTTAATTGAAACAACCCCATGATGTGACATGCAACTATATCCTTCAATCTCTACTTAGCCCAAGTTTGGTTTATATACAACTGTTGTGGGAAAATGGCCACGTAAGTAAGGGATGAGGAAGTATGGAGAGAGATGCACAAATTCTCTTTTATTGCCATGCACAACTACAGCAATCACTGGGAATGCAGACAAGCCCTAAAAGTTATATACCCTCTGGAACAATACATAAGAATTACAAAAGCAGCATAAATTATAACATGACCTTTACAGCAGGAATCTGATACTAACATGAGGCACTTACTATGTGCTGACTACACACTGCTCTTCGAAGGAGACTCTTTCTACTGATGCCAGCACAATCTAACATAAACAATGTTCTGAAACCCCTTTTTGCAACTCCTGAAAATAAAACCAGCGACTTTCCCCAAGAATAACCACCATTATTTTGGAATCCCTGCATTTGTATAAACAGTAGATACAGCTTTAGAGTACCCTTCTCAATCCCCTTTTATTAGACAGCTACCTGTTATTCTCCTATTGCTGGGACCACAATTCTTGCATGCATTCCTCTCAACAGACAAGTCTGCCACCTGACAAGGTAAGGTATTAATATACCAATGATGATAGTCTGGGGGAGGGGAGAACTTGGGACCATCCCACCAGTATAATCTGAAGCAGATCAGGACTTTCTCAGTTGTTTTTGCTCCTTCCTTCTACGCTCCTTCCTGGCTTTCAAGTTGATAGTATCCACAGCAAGGGCTCTAATGCTGGTTTTTTAAATCATGCCTTAAACAACTAGATAAACCACGACCAGCCCCAAAAAGATGTTTGAATTGCAGCAATCAGATAAATAATAAGTAAATAATTTTTAACTTGCCCGAAGAAATAAATCTCAAAGTATTTAATTTCAAACATCTATTTTTTTTAATCAAGACAAATACAACTTTATATTTGTTATCGCTTAAATTAAAAACACCATAATCACAAGGTTCAACACAATGACAGCACACTTAATATCATGTTATAAATTAGGACAAAATGAATCATTTTACTCAGATTAAATATTAAAAATATCAAACAGAATGCAAAGCGTGGAACACTCCATGCCTTTTCAAGTACTGTAACATTAACACCACAATCTTATATATGTTTATTAGAAGTCCCACCGGGTTTAAACACACTAGAAAGTGTTTATGGGATTTCAGCCTATTTTTCTCTGTCAAAACATTAAATCTGGCTGAACATATTTTCATAACCTAATTATTTCCCGAATTTCATATTGAACAAAACAGCAGGGATGAACAATATCGAAGTGATATATGGGGGAAACAAATATTACAACTATTTCGCAAACGTTGTCCCCGACCAACATCTCTATCTGAAAGGAGCATCATCACCACGCTGTTCTCCTATTCTACAGTATCCCCGAAGATACTTGAATTACTCAAGGCCAAACTTCTTCGATGATCTTATGATTTCTGTGCGGCTCCTGATTCCACAGATTCCCAGCGTTTTAGACGCTCCGGAGGAAGCGACGATGTGTTTTGCCGCTTGTCAAAATCCCCCAACCTGCCCCGAGGAAATTCTGGGGGGCGCTTTGCTTCTGGCACAGTCCATCGCTTTCCCGAAACCGTTCTGGTCGATCTTGTCTTAGACCTCTTTCCAAGTAGTCACGGTTTCTACAAGAAGGCACTCTGCACATCCTCAGAAGGTCCTTTCCAGAGAATGATAATCAAATCTCCGCCAGGCTTGATCCTGCCACCCACACCCCGTCTGGCAACCTACAGCTTTCGCTTGCAGGGTGCGCTGCGGATCCTTTCGAAGGGGTTGCAGCGAAAGCCCCCGGCTTTGCCGGCGCCTTGTCTCCGGAAGGCAAGAGGGGCTGCCTAGAAGCAGGCGGCAGCCCCTCCCCTCCGAGTCAAAAAGCAACAAGCGGCGCCGGCTGCTTGCAGGCCCGCCCGTTCATCACGCCACCCGCCCTAATCCGATTTCAGGCGAGCCGTGCCAGGGAGAGGCCTCCCTCCCCTCCGCCGGTCTAGGCAGCAGCCCCTCCCCCGGTCTTAATCCTCGCCCCCGTAGCTCAAAGCAACGTGCTTGCTCCGGCCCTGCCCCTTCGATGGGCTTCCGCGGCGACCATTGGCTCTCCCGCTCTCTCGGCTGCGCTCCGAGCCAGGACAGCCCGCAGGGTGGGGCTGGCTGGTCCGCAGTTTCAGTGCCGCTCCTGGGCGATCGGTCGGGTTGCAGCCGCCGCTCGTGGGAAGGCAAGTGAGTGGATGCGTGTAAAGGTCGCGCGCCTCCCCCCCCCCCCACGATCCCGTCGTTTGCTCCTTGTCTCTGCCTTTTCTTCAACGGGCGTCTTTGCGGATCCAGCCCCTTCCTGCTTGCTCACCCAGGGCTTGGCGGGCGCTGTCCGCCGCCTGTTTCGATTTCCCTTCTCGCCGTGGGATATTTTCCCCTCCATTCCTATGAGTCAGTGCTTTGGGTGGAGATCGGCCGCCTGCGCCCACCGGTCCCGTGGGAGTGGAGAACGAGCGCTCTTCGCGGGCTAATCCGGGATGGGGCGTAAATACATCCATCCCACATTAGCCCCGCCTAAGATCACGACGGCAGGAGGTCTGGTCCCGGCTGTAACAGAGGATCTTTCCTCCTTTTTCCCCCAACGGGGAAATTTTCTGTTCTTCTATGCTCGCGGCTTCCCCATTTTCGACTCGCACCGACGCTGCGAGTTAAGCACAACCGAAAGGTTTAGTTGAAGTTCCAGGATTGGCTCAAATTTGCTTTGTGACCGTCATAGTTTAGTGGGGTTTCAGCTTGCAGGGCCCTACGATGGTCCGAGACTGTACCCATCACGCCCGCTTTCTCTTATCCAACTTCCCTGTCCAGCATGGCTATGGGATCTGTGGCCAGCCATAATGGGATTTGAACCACAATATCTCCAGTTAATATCCCAGGGGATGACTTTGCTATGTCATGAGGCTGTACCTGGTTGATTGCAATGATGTAGTGATTATGTAGGAAGCAAATGATTATTATTATTATTTTAAAAAAAGCTAATTTGCAACCTGAGTTGTCAATTGGAATAGGAAGTCCTCTGATAGAATTCAGGTTTTCTGTATGCTTGCAATAAATTATTGAAAAAAAGGGAGAGGTGCTTTTATGAAAGAAATCCTCTCTTGGAATTGTTCCCTCTGTTTGGTCAACTCACTGGGTTTTAGCAGTTTAAAGGTAAATGTCTAAGTAGCTTTCTCTGATCCTTCTGTAATTTAAGGACTAATTTGTGCTCAGTGCTCAAATTTCAGTGCTTGTTTCAATGTCATATAATGTATTTTAATAAAACAATTAAAATTATGAAAATTGCGTGAAATTGAAATAGTCAGCTGGACATCATCTGCCCCTCATGCAGCCACAGATCATATTCCTGCAAACCCCTTAAAGCATTACCATTTATTTTATTTGCAAAGTTAAAATACAAAATAAAACAAAGAAAGTAAAGAAAAAAGAAAAAAAACAAATTAAGGATTTCAGGTGTGTTCAAGTTACAATATAAAATGTAATTTATACAAATTATAAAGCAGTAAAATAAATGAAGAATAGGGGGTCCCTGCTAAAGATTAAAACAGCAATAGTTACAGGATTTGTCCCTTGGGTGAAGACTCCCTGCTAACTGAATATGTCTAATTCCCAATGTCCCCTTTGCCTCATTGTTAGCCCATGAGAATGAAAAGTCAGCTCTTCACTTGAAGCAAGTGTTGGTCCAGACCGGGCTCCAAAACGGAAAGGACACAATAGAGAAGATGATCTCCTGAAACTTCCCAGAACATTCCTCTGAGGCAGTGAGCAGCAATCTTCCACAGATATTAATGTTTGAGTGGATACACGCTGGCAGAGCTGATGCCTTAAAGAGCATTTTAAAGTTCATTGTAGACATTTATAGCTGCCCTTAGGATCAGGGTTTTATCATCTCTAGCCAGCAGTGTCTGCATGGGGGAGAAGGTGCAAAAGGGGTCTGAGAAATGAACGTGGTATCTTGGGGTTGCAACACAAGTCTCACTGTTTTTCTATGTATGTTCTGGCATCTCATGCACATCTCAAAGCTGGAGGACTTAAAGTACAATATGGTAATGTTGTTCCAACATTCTGATGAAATATGTAGACACCCTTGTTTCTTCTAGCTGTGAGTTCCAAGCCACCTTCAAGGGCAGTTCCATGCACATTGCAATACTGTAATCTGACAGGACAGAGATGGGTAGCTCACCCCTCCACCAAAGGCATTGTAGTCAATGAGTCAGTTGCAGCTGGTCAAATAAAATGGGTCACTGAAACCACCTGGGCTAGGTGACAGATGACTTCAGACATCCATAGATGGTCACCTGCTCCTTCAAAGGGAGTGCATGGTCCTCCGGAAATATTCCTGAACTTGTGAACTACTTCATCTTCTTAAGAATCATTCTGTTTATTGATCCTTGTATAGCACCTTTCCAACGTCTATCACTTTCACATGCCTTCAAGTAGACAAGGGTCCACATGCCTTCAAGTAGACAAGGGTCTTCAAGTCATTGTTGACCCCTGGTGATTGCCAGGACTAGTCTATGCAGGTTTCTTGGCAAGATTTCAGAAGTGGTTTGCCATTGCCTGCTTCCTAGGGCTAAAAAAATATGACTGGCCCAAGATCACCCATCTGGCTTCATGCCTAAGGTGAGGTTAGAACGCATGATCTCCTGGTTTCTAGTCCAGTGCCTTAAATCATGACACCAATCTGATACTCTATTCTCATATTAATGCCCACTAACCTACAGGTCGGCATGAAATTGTTGAAGACTAGTGCTGCCTACTCTATCCTCTGGCAATTGTAATTAAAGATTATTAGGAAGATGAAAGATAAAGATAAATTCCAGCTAATAAGACTAGAGAAGTAAGTTGTAGCAAAATCCAGGAGCTTATTTTTGGTTCTGAACAGTGTCCTACAGTTTAAACATAAGAATCTTTATCATTTAGATTTTTTTAAAAACAAGGCTAAAAATTATGCATTTGAATATTTCTACACACACACACCCCTTAATTTCTTTAGTTTCAACAACAGTCATTGAAATGGTCTTTTGTATATGGAAAGCCATGGAGAAAATCTTCATTATTGAGAAAAGAGAGATAATCTACTTAGCCAATGTCATACCTTATCCCAACCATAGCCTATTTCTTATTTCATTGTTGATACCCTTTTCATTCACTACTGAGAAGAGAAATCCATGAAATATTATTAGTTTCGCTCTGGATCCTTGCATTTGTTTTCTGGAAAATCTCAGAGCATTGGTTCTAACAAGTGCATTCCATTAACCACCATGGCTATCTAGATTTTTGTCCAAAAGGATTATTTCATTTAGAAAGAGCTTTGAATATCAGCGATTGACCTTTTTCTTTGGAAATGGAATCATTGTTGGTTTTCTTATTGCCTAGGAATTAAATTGGACATGGAAAACGAGATTTAAAAAGCAACCAAAGTTTCCTTAGAAAGTGCAGTGATTAGGATAGGAGGGTGTCCTTTTCTAGTGCTGATACTTATTGTCCTCAGTAATTTAAAATGAAATAAAAACTCCATTAAAGCATTACTTTAGTTTCTCTTTGAAGGCTAAGAAATAATTAGCATAAATATCTTCATCAATTGATGAGGTATATTGCCAGCAACACTTTGATATGTATCTTGCAGGAGTAGAAAGTGAAGTCACTATGAAAGCATTCTCCCCTCCCCCTTAAGAATGTCTTGCTCTCATCCATGAAACCTCTTCACTAAGAACTGAAAAAGTTTCTTGGATGAGAAGTGATTTTTTTTCAAGGAAAAAAACCCCCACAAGTAAGTCCATTTGCCTTTTGAAAAGCACCTTTGAGACAACCTGGATGACCTGGATGATTGAAGATTTCCATAGACAATTAACAAAAAAAGGCTGACCAAAGCATTGTTTACAAACTGCAGTGGCTGAGCCAAAGCCACACAAATCACAATTTGATTTAGCTTGGGGTGTGAACCGTGCCAGACTATACTGTGATACTTAGCCTGATTTCTTCCAGAATGGAAAGTGTCTCCAGAGCAAAGCAAAAACAGTCAGAATATTTTGTAACTTTCCTGAGAATCTTCAAATCCCTTGAATTCCAAATCTTAGCTGGGGACAAGATAGAATGGAAGTAAATGAATGGGAGATGTGTCAATGAGGACGTACCAGTTTCTTGTGTGTCTATATCTATTGTGCACTGATATGGTTTATTTTGCTTTCTTTCTGTCTTCTTGCCCAGAATGTCTGCAGAACTGTCTTTGCTCATCAACATAAATGAGCCACGGTGGGATCAGAGCACCTTCATGGGAAGAGCAAAGCATTTCTTCGCAGTGACAGATCCCCGCAACATTCTGCTTTCTAACAAGGCCCTAGAAGATGCCCGAAGAGTGATACAGAATTACAGGTTCTTTTGGAGAGTTGACAGGAAGCAGTTAAAAATGACAGCAGGGAATCCTAATAACTTGGTCCAAGTTGTTTAAAACATCGGACAGAACTGTGACCCTCCTTTTCCACTCCTCTCTTCTAAATGCTGGGATAATAGAGCCTCCTTCTCTCTCCCCCTTGTCTTCCATTATTCTTCTGAGCATTATCCATTGTTTGCAACATTCAGTATAGTACCTATGATAAATAGGGTACGTTGAGTGAAAGCAGTGGGAAGAAAATTTATACAGGAGAAGCTGGGCTGAGAAAGTGACTCTTATTGAAGTTCTTCTGAGGGAGGCTTTTTTTTTGTTTGTTTGAATTTTTCTGGTGGTAGTTTGGTGGTGGGACTTTTAGTTGGCTCAAGACCTTTGCTCTGTCTTTATATGCAGTCCCAAATTAGGATTTGGAACATAAAAAGAAATATACCCTAATACAACCTTAGGGTATATTGAACCTTAGGTCACTGTGTGAAGAGAACAGAAAAGAACCTTAATTGCTTGTCTTTTCTGAAATTCTTTTTCCTTTAGGTCAGGGGTTTCAAGCTTACGTCCGTCACATCATCATCATGTGACGTATTGGGACTTTTTCCCCCTTTGCTAAACTGGGCGTGGGCATGACAGCCCTGCTTTAGGTGTTTCTGGGAATTACCAACATAGCTCCTCTGTTCTTAAAGCTTTCTCCATCTCCTTCTACCATTAATATTTATTCCAGAAACCTTCACAACATTATGTACTATCATCATTTTTTTTCTCATTTTTGTGGATCTTCCCAGAATGGGTAAAGTGCAACCAGGCTTGACTGAAGACCAATTATGGCGGGCAAAATACATCTATGACTCTGCCTTCCATCCAGACACTGGTGAGAAGATGATCCTGATTGGACGTATGTCTGCCCAGGTGCCCATGAACATGACCATCACGGGATGCATGCTCACCTTCTACAGGCACGTGTGTACCTACTAAGGTCTGGCACCTTGTGTGGGAATAGTATATTAGAGAGGTATGAAGTGAGAAATCTATAACTAAGGACCAAAGATGTGTGTGGTGAGTGAATGAGAGAATAGCTTTTATTTTACTTTATGAAAAATTAGAAATCCCTGGGGTCAGGGGAGTATTTAGACTTGACTATATGCTATAAATTTTTGTCCCATGGATTGCCTATTAGTCATGGGAGGGAAGACAAAATAAATGTCTTAAATTTCAGCACTGTATCAGACAAGGTGACTTAAGGTAAGAAAACGGTATGGAAGCGGTATGGAAAAATGACCTTAATAGCTCCCTGCCACACATGTCTGACTTAAATGAAAAAGATGCTGCTCTCCTGCAGGATATATGCTTAGGATTTATAGCCCTACCTGGACATTTGACTTTCAATTTCTACAAAGGAATGGAGAATAGGATGCTTAATGCTGGAAGTGTATAAAAAGCAGTGAAAGCCATGTCTAACAGCTTCAGTTGGGTTCAGTTTCCCAATGGTTTAAAATGAAAGGTTGAACTGACTATAGGGATTTTAGTATAGATTTTTCGTACTTTGTACTTTTTATATGGTCTTTTAAAAAACTTGTGTGTATGATAGTCTTGTAGTATATGTATACCCTTCAGCATATATACCTTCAGCATATAAGATGTGAATCTTTTTTAAAGGGTTCCAAAGAAGAAAAGCATTTTTTATTTGCATTTTGATTTGAGAAATGTGGTGTAAATGAGTTTGCATGAAAATGCAAGCCAAAACATCTTTCTCCATCCATTGTTGATATGCTGAACAAATTCCTGATCTTAGAATTGTTTAATTCTTATTTGCTTATTTTTGTCTCTCTGATTAGTAGATCTTGGAATACTAAGTAAGGCAGATCCTATAGATCTGCAGCCTCCACAGTCTTGTTTTAACTGCACGACACACTATATGTGTATATGTATCTTTATCCTTAGCTCTAGTTTACTCTGTGAACTGTTAAAGTATATTATTGTCAATTAGTTTTCTGTGATAATGTTTTATGGAAAACTATGAGCATGATAGATAAAGATTTGATACTTTATACATATAAGTAACATATAACAGGACTGTCAAACTCCTGTCCTGGTTTAGTGAAGGGGGGGAAGTCCCGATATGTCACGTGATGATGCCATGATGTCGTAAGTTTGACACCCCAACATATAACATATGAAATAACATAAAATGCAAGAGCATTTTAATTCAAGCTATTGCATGTAATTAGCAAAGGGGTACATGCATGCAAACACAGGTTCTGGAGAGTCCTGAGTGTCTTCATTGAAGATCATTCACATAAAACTATTTGAGTATCTGTAAGAATGCGACTGCCAAATGCTTCTGTTAATGTTTGTGTACATGTGTGGACAGATAGATAAGGCCATTCAGAAATGTAAACTTTTACAAGGACACTTGTTAAGAATCTTTCCAACTTATTTGTTAATAAGTAAAACCACAGCCAGGCCTCTTGAAGTGTATGTGCAAATGGGTGCTTATTGTACACTAAGATAAACAAGCATAGTGTTCCTAGGATGCTGAAGGTTAACCTGGCATTTTGGTTTCTCTGATAGCTTTCTGTCTTGGCTTCTTGTAGCTTTTGGCAGTACTGACTGTTTCTTTTCCTGCAGGATGGCTCCTGCCATAGTTTTCTGGCAGTGGGTGAACCAATCATTCAATGCCATTGTCAATTATACTAACCGGAGTGGAGACGCACCTATCACTGTCAAGTAAGAAAGCAGTAAAATAATTGGAAATTAAGATCAACTTCCCTACCAAGAATTATATCCAATGGTCTTGAATTGCCTGGCCCTAACCAGCAACAGACTGTGGCAGTTTCTAGGAAGTACCATTTTCATGATTCAGTGCTTACCTGGTTCGCAAAACAGGAGATCTCTGTTCTCTATGTTACTTCCACCTTACCACTTACTTACTTTATTTTTACTGAGCTTACAGATTTAGTTTAGTTTGCTTTATTGTCATTGCACCTCATACAATGAAATCAAACACCATCTTCAGTGCACATCATGACCATGAAAATAAACACAAACACACATCCTTCACCCTTCACACATTGAACCGGAAACCCCCGACAACACACCAACACTGCACTATACAGCAGAATTCAAAAGAGCTACTGCCCTGGGATAGAAGCTGTTTTTCAGCCTATTTGTCCTTGTTTTTATTATTCTGTACTGTCTGCCAGATGGTAATAGTTCAAAAAAAGGGTTCCCAGGATGAGATGGATCTTTGCGCCAACTGTTGCTGATTATGAGCAACACACATGCCCAACATAATGAATGAATCAGATTAAGACCATAAGAATAACATAATAAAAAAATGTATCAGCATACATAAGTACCAGGAGTATCAATTACCAAAAAGAGGGATAAAATATATCCAATGCTAGAAGAAACAAACTTGTAACAAGGTTACAAAGACTGCTCGAGTTTGGGCCATATAGTGCTTTAAAAGGTGACAGCCTACAGCTTGAATTTGTCTGGAAGCCAACTGGCAACCAGTAGAGCTCACAAATTAGTCACAGGAATGATAAAGTTAGGCAAGCCTCTTTTGGCCAAGCATGCCGTGGTTCATTTTTGTGTTCTCAGAAACCACTGATTGGCAGGACTGGCATGTTTTGTATTTTGATAGGATTTTGAGAAACTTGTCGTTCATTTTGCCCTTAAAATGCTCTAAAATGGAAAAAAAAAAGCAACCTGGTTAAAAAAGAAGAAGGGCTCCTCAAGCTTCTGCAAGGTGTAAGATGCCATCATGCTTGTTAGTTTGTTAACTAGCTCCAAATACAATCCAAAACCTTTGATTTTGCCTACCGGTATTTCTGATCAGAGGCATATGTGCCTTATGATAACCCAAGGCTGCTTTAAATATGCAAAACTGCTGTCCATCCTGCCATATTTCTGGGATGGGACTGAGGTTAAAGTTAAGGTCAGACAGGAAGGCTGAGGGTTTCTTTCTAGCTGATACAGTTCTACAGAGGAATTATTGAGTCTGTCATATGCACCTCTATAACTGTCTGGTTTGGTTCTGCAACCCAACAAGACAGACACAGACTTCAGAGGATAATTAGGACTGCAGGAAAAAAAACAATTACTACCAACCCGCCTTCCATTGAGGACCTGTATATTGCACGAGTCAAAAAGAGGGCTGTGAAAATATTTACAGACCCCTCACATCCCGGACATAAAGTGTTTCAACTCATTCCCTCAAAATGACGCTATAGAGCATTGCACACCAGAACAACTAGACACAAGGACAGTTTTTTCCCAGACGGCATCACTCTCCTAAACAAATAATTCCCTCAATACTGTCAAACTGTCTACAAAGTCTGCATTATTATTACTATTAATCTTCTCATCATTCCTTATCACCCATCCCCTCCCACTTATGACTGTATCACTGTAATTTTGTCACTTGTATCCTTACAATTTATATTGACTGTTTCCTAGTATGATTTGATTGCTTATTGTACCTTATGACTATTATTAAGCATTATACCTTTTGATTCTTGACTCTTGACGAATGTATACAGAGAGCATTTGCACCAAGACAAATTCCTTGTGTGTCCAATCACACTTGGCCAATAAAGAATTCTATTCTATTCTATTCTATTCTATTCTATTCTATTCTATTCTATTCTATTCTATTCTATTCTATTCTATTCTATTCTATTCTAT